CTGAGAGAGCAGCATCGCGAGGAGGTGACACGGGCGAAGGGAGAGCTGCTCTTCATCTTGTGGCCACTGTTTCCTTCCCCCACCCCCGCAAACAATTCTTACATGCAATTAGGTCACATCTGAAAGTCTGCACACAGCAGGAGTTGAGTTACTTTGTTTAAAACAAAAACATGTATTTCTATCACCTCAGGAGTTGTTCCTCTTTTGGCACAGGGACCCTCTGATCCTCCCACCTCCTTTTATCAGCATCTTCAAAAGAGAAAGGGAGTTCTAATTGCTTTCTCCCCTCACCTTAGAAAACAGGGGAAGGCTGCCGTCCTCCTCTATTGGCATCCTGAGAAGAAACACGCTTTGAGCAATCATTTATTTGCAGAACAAAAATAACATCCGAGATTTCAAAGGGCAGAGCAGTTCAGAAGAACAAGGCGCTCCCCTCCCTTCCCCCCCCGTCACCGTTTCTTTGCTTATTACCACCTGCTGTCTGCACAACCTCCTGCTCTGCCTCTTCCCTCCTTACCAGGGCACACACGGGCTTCTCCTTCTCTTCTGAGCAGCACTGGAATATCTCCAACCTACTGCTGGTGCTTCCTCTGCGCCGCAAGGCGGCAGCCAAGCAAGCTCCAAGGCTAAGAGGCCAAGTCGAGGCAAAAAGAGGGGTGTACCTTGAAAGCATTACACCACCAAAGGATCTGCAGTTCTCCAAGATCCACTTTACCCACAACTGCTTTCTTGATAAAGAATAAGCCTCCGAGATTAGGGAAAAAAAAAAAAAATATTTAAAAAGTCACTTTTTAGGCAGTGGAAGAACTCAGCCCATCATGTTTTGCTTCTGCTACAGATATCTAGGTATCCTTCCTGGGGAGGACCAGGGAGCAGAAAAGCAGGAAGAAACCAGTAGTTCCACAAACCTGATTTCTTCCAGCTTTTTGATTTTTACCCAATTCTTTGGTTCCTGATTAAGGAGGGCCCCCTGTGAGTCCTGCCACCGAAAGCATCGCTCTCCCACAGCACACGCTCGCTGATACTCGAAACCCTCTCGTTCGGATGGGGAGAGGGAATGTTGAACTTCATGTCACGTGGCCATTTGTTTCTACAAAGCCTGAGAAATCAGCACCTTCACCACCTTTATCAAAGGTGGCTGAAACGAGGCCAAAGAAGCCCATAAGCGCTGAAGCAAAGACTGACTGGTCAGACCAACGGGCCTTGTTAAGAGACTGGGCTGAAAAAACCTGATGGCAATCTGCAAAATCTCCACTACTCACTGGAAAACAACCTACAGGGTCACGTTAGGTCTTACTTGACAGACTTCCAATGCTCCAAAACGCAAGTTTTGCGGGAAAAGCCATAGAACGCTGTCTCTGGAAGTAAAGAGCGAGACCGTCAAAGGTGCAAAAAATTTTATCACACCGTGCTGCAATCTGTGCCTTGGATAAGCAAGTTTCTCCATACATACTTACAAATATACTTCTGTGGTTCAACAGACACATCTGTCACTTTTCAGCGTGTAGGAGACTGAACAAAAATTCTACCTAATTCCTCCTGAATAAAAAGAAAAGCCAGTGAGCATCCAGGTAGGTGAGGCATGAGAGAACACACCGTCTCCGAGAAAGCCGCCTTGAGCTCATACAGAGATTTCTTTCTGTAAGAGACCACGTACAACTCATCACACGCTATGAAATCACTCTGATTTCGAAGCTCTTTGTTAACAAGAAGAACTGAGCTTGGTTTTTAAATATTTTGAGCTCTGCTGCACGAAACAGCATATGCATACAAAGTTGAAATGATTGATCAAGTTTGTTTGTAACACAATCAGCTATTTCAAGAGTACAAATGAGGGCAAGCATTACAAAAAAAGCCATTTATTATATATGTACATATATACATACACATGCGATGGTTTTTATACACATTTACACAGGTTCAATTATTAATACAGTGCAAAAATGTCTAAAAAGGTACCAGCCCACCTTGAAAAAAACTTAACTGGTCTTTGGGAGAAAGAAAAAAAAAACAACAACAAAACCTCACAGAAAATTATCGGCTTCAGGAAGTGACTAAGCACTGCAAATCTTGAAATTAATGGAGTTTATTCGTTACCAATTTTCTTGTGCTGAGCCGCTGGGTGAGGACAAGTTTCTGAAAGACTTATCTTGAAATCTGACAGAATTAACAAGACACAATTTCAACTACATTAAACAGCTTCAAGTCGAACAAAAAGGGATGGATTCCTGTTGGGGGATTTGATTCAACACAGGCGTAATCCCACGGAATGAGTCAGGCTTCACGTACTCAAACTGCAAGTCATTCTTTTTTATTAAATCTTAAAGCACTGAGATCGATGTAAACTATTCTATTCCTCTTGCTGTTTCACCAGAAGAAAAAGTTGAACCGTATAAGCACCTTACAGATAGAGAAGCCATTCAAAATATTAACAACAAAAAAAAAATAGGTCAAACTGAACGTGTTGCCTCATCCCTGAACCAACACCCAAACCGAGGGAGTGAGCAGACACCAACGCACAAGAATTAATCCACGTGTATCCCTTAATAAGGTTTACAGATATTACAGGGGAAAATAAAAAAAAAAGGTTGCAAAGGGATTAAGACTAAGAGCAAACCAGCGCTTCATTTGTTTGGAAGAGATCTAGTTGCATCCTCCATCTAAAGCACAAAGCCAAAAACCAAAAAAAAAACACATGAAGGTAGAACTGAACCAACTGGTTTTGTTTGATTTGACTGAAATCCTTTCAGAGAAAAAAAGAAAAATATTAAGCTGATGCTGAATTTCATCTTTATCCATCCTAATTACGTTAATTACACCAGTTATCTAAACTCCTCCTTCTACTGCTCTTGCTGCAGAGCTGCGGCTGACATCACCTGTATTTGTTTTCGGATAAAGGAAAGAGATGCTCAGGAAGCATCAGGAACGTCAGGAGTTTCTTCCAATCAGCTCAATACAAGGATGAGAGAGACAAAGCGGATAATGGTTCAGTGGTCTCACAGGCCGCTTTTAAGTGCTCTGCTGGCCGTAAGCTCCAAGAGGCCAGCTTTACCCAAACCTACGGAGAAACAAGAAAGCTCTCGTCCCTTCCTTAGCCAGGCTGGGGCTGAAAGGGTGGGGAGCTGGGAGATGGGTCCTAGCGCCAAGTGAAACCAGGGGCTGGACAGCACAGGGCATCAGTACCAAACCCTCCCACATCCCTGGGGTCACCTGGGGGTCTTCAGGACAACTGTTGAATTCAGGTTTCATTTCTCCACTTATGCTCTGGCAGAAATCTGGGGAATTGACAGACAAACAATTTTAATCCACTCCCTTTATGGCACACAGCTCTAGTTCTCTTCTTAACTGGCTGGATAAAACATTCCTTCATCATTCCTACTAGAGTAGCCCTCACAGTGCAGAAGGGAATTACCAATATTTTACTACTAGAAAAAGCTCTCTTGATGTCCTAGAAATTGTTCAGGTTGTAAGGGGCTGCCTATCGATGCCGTTGTTGCAGTCAGCTGCATGGCAGAAGCGCTTCTAAGGTCTAATAGTTCACTGATACTCGCGTTTGCATCTCGAGATTTCAGGAAAATCCACTGAGATGCAAGAAAGTAACTTTGCTAAGTGCTTCTGCAAACTCAGGGAGACAACTCCGCATCGTGTTAATCTCTTTGCAACCACCAGAGGTAGAGGCTACGCAAGAGGAAACCAAATCTTTGGTGAGAGACGTCCAGTGGAAGAAATGGGGTGACCAGAAAACAGTTTCCTAAGAAATAAAATTTAAAACAAGAAAATCTAGGATCATAGTTCCACAGTTCCACACCTACGGTTCTCTACATCCTTTCAGTTTGAAACACTACAGCCCTTCAAGGAGAGCTGCATCCAAATGCTATGCACTTTTATTTTTAAATAGACGGCCTAAATTATTCATATACATTCTAAAATGCCCATATTGTACCTCAGTACATTCCCTACAAGAACAGCCAGTGCAGCAGAAGTTAAGAATTTCAGCTCCCCAGCACTGTACTGAAAAGTGCACACTCCTAAATTCATCTTAGTGTAAGAACTCAACACCATTAACTAAAGGTGTTTTATATAATAAAGAGAACCCGCTCTCACTTCCCATTACTGGAAATGCCTTTCTGCTCACCAGCTGCACATTTCTTTCAAAAAGGTGAAGGAGTCAGTGGCCCGTCAGAAGTCGGCTCGGAAGATTTATTATCCATACAGACCAAGCAAACATGGAATTGCCCTTCTACTAAGAGTGACCTTAGTCAAGGAAATAAAGGTCGCTCGAGCTGAAAGATCACTTATACTCACTTCGCTTATTTTATGCTGCCCCAAGCATATTTGCAATTAACCAATGAGCACATATTTAACCCCAATGCGCTGTTGAGCCAGGAGGTATTTATAGCCTTTACGGTTTTTAAAAGAGCCACAGCCTCTATCTCTTCCTTCAAAACCTACAAAAATTACCCTGAAGCTCATTCTAACAATTTTTCCCACTGATCCTGACCTCGTCTACTTAGGGGAAACAACTCCTTTACTTGCATTTACCAAGAATCTTGACCACTTCTATAGTCAGAAGGGTTGCCTACCACTTGATCTTCATTTTACTATGCAATTCCAATATTTTTGGAAGCTTCAGCAGGGCAAGACATTGACCTGCCAAACTGTTACGAAGCCAGTAAGACAAACAGTAAAATGCTGTCAAGATGGTATTAGTCAAGGAGTAAAAGCTTGTTTACGGTAAGGAGAACCTCCATCTACTAACAATACTTGACAAAAACTACCGTTTGCAATTACCCCACGCCCTGTTAAATACAGCTACGTTCCTCGCTGTACGTTTGACATGGTTACAGCATCCTACTTTATTTCAAGTTGCTTGGAGATATCCTCCCTGCAATAACCACCGTCCCGAATCTTTAAAAATACTCCAAGCTCTTTTTGGCCAGTTTAATATATATATAAAAAAAAAAAGCTGTAAGAATAGAGTAGCAAACCCAAAGTCCTTTTCATACTCCACAGTCAGGCTGTTTCTCCACGAGTTGCCTTGTCAGTATTTGATAAGAAGCAAGCGATGCCACTCCTATGTGAAAGGCTATTTGCCAGAGGTTCCGCAATCCATACAAGTAGATGTTGCACAAACAAATGGAGAAAAAGAGTGCAAATGTCTTCACCTTCCTTGCCGAGCTGTAGAAGAGGTACAAGTAACACTGTGAAAGGACCAGAGAGACAGCGTTAGATTTAAACCACGGACACACAGACACGAGACGTAGCTGGGAATTGCTCACAACATCCCCGCCGTATGGATGCGCCTGCAGCGATCCCTAAGAAGGTCAAAGCTTCCCTTCACCTCCTGCCTCCAAAGGTCCTCCCAAAATGGCCAGAGTGGTGGCCTCAACCCTACCTGCTGGCTAAGCACAGATCCCCAAGAGAAGTCTGCCCAGTCCAAAAGCCGAGCTGGCTTTCAACAAAGAGCCATGATTTCTGCAAGAGAAAGGCTCAGAAGCAGGAAAACAGGAAACCCAAATCTGCTTCTGCCCTACTTGTTCCTGAGATAAGTAAAGGACTTTTTCTAGACTTGACTTGGTAGGAAGACCAGCATTTCTGTTAACAGGTTTAGCTGGGGGTTTGCCCTCTTTTTCTTTTTAAATTCAAGAACAGGTGGAACCCATTCGCTGAGCATGTGTGAAGAGCAACAGCCCTTACAGGAGAGAAAACTCACCAAGTGCTGGCAGAAGAGTTACTTTTTTAACTCAAGCAGTAACAGCTCATGCTTTCTCACTTAAGGTCACCGTTTCCAACTGTGCTGATGACACAAGTAGAGATCAGCACACACAAAACACTTCATACTCGAGCTCAATTTATGCAGAAGCGTTTTGCAAAGATGACTGCCGGGGATCAAAAGGGTAAGAGAGAACTCTTGATTTAGCTTCTCCAGTTTCAGGTACTAACGGGAAAAAAGCAGGGCAGAGCCTTTCTTTGCGAAGAACAATTTGCATGGCATATCCAGATCCAAATTCCGATCCCCACCTTAAAGCTCTGCCGCGAACAGAGGTCTAAGGTGGCTGAAAGACACTAAATTGTATCTGTTGTGATAAAATAAATAACCTCTGCAAGTTTTAAATGCCATTGATAAATAAAAGTCTTCAGATAGCAATCCCCAAACTATGAGCCAAACGTGACACGACTCAGCGTTGAACACACTGGAGGCATTAGGTTATCCCTGCTGTCAACGTGTAACCCAAGCACTGCAGCTTCCTGCAAGGACAGGCTAAAAATTGAAGATTTTGAAGGTTTAAGTTAAAGGTTGTGGCCCACTGGTTTAAGTATTTAAAGAACCTTTCAAGAGGAACCCTTTCGGAGCATATGACATTTTCCTCACTCAACTTCTGCCTAAGGAGGTCAGAGAATCTACAGAAGTCAGGAACCACACTTGCCTCAAGAATTACAACTAATTTCTAATGTAAATTAGAACGTTTTTATAATGTTGCTATCTTGTATTTGCTTAGTCTTTCAGGGCAGTTAAGCTACAAAATCTTCCTCTGGGAAGCAAATCCTCTTTGAGCTAGCGCTTACTTATCACCATCAGCCCCATTTGACATCTCAAAACATGAAAACGCTGAAAAAAACCCTGCAACTTCAGTTTGCCAAGGGTCAAACTGTGCCTTTAACTGTACCCACTTCACTGGAATACCTCAGGGGAATGACCTAGGTAGGATACTAAAAGTAAATTGTTCCTCTGCTTAGCTGAAAATTACTTTGTCTTGTATATCATCACACAAAACTAATCAGAAAGCATTTTATTTACCTGAAAAACACAGGCTAGAAAAGGTAGGAGAAACGCTATCACATTTCCAATTCCTTCACGGTCCTCCTGTTTTGACGAAAAGAAGCGACGAACCATGTCAGCTACAGTTTTTTTAGCAAGAGCCGCTTGATATTTTAGAACACTACATCTCGTCAAGTCCCAGTTCATGGTGATTGACTGCAACAGTGTGAACCAGCAAGATCAATATCATCCAAGAACTGACACGTACGTGATTAACTCCCCCTAAATAAAATTGTGCCACCACATGATCAGCACGCTTTTTTAAGTTTCCTTTTTAGGAGCTGTTTACAGTTTCACATTTGTTTAAAACAATTTAGAAAAAAGCGTCTACGACAAAACGTAAGAATGTGAAAAAATAAAATTAAAAAAAAAAAAAAAAGCCCGTCCAGACAGCCTGGCAAGGCTAAAGTATTTCTCCAAATTTTAATCTCCCTAGAAAAGATTAAAACGCAGCGTGCTGTGATGTACGATGAGACACACGAGGTCCAGCAGGTGAGCAATCAATTGTACATCCCCTGGACAAACTAAACAAATCTTGTAGAAAGATGTACATTCTACTAAGCGGCAGAAAGGCCCCCTCGTCTGGTTACCCAAAATAACTGTCTCCTCTTGACCCCTCTAGAGGGTTGAATTCCATCAGAGTTACCTGAAACGAATACTCTGCCAGGTGAACACCTCGAATGAGGTTCAAAGCTCCGCACATGATGTTCAGAACAAGCGACAGAATCCCCAGGGGAGTCACAGGCTGCATTCTGTAAGTTGGGACTGAAAAATGAAAAAGAAAGACACATCAGTGCAAGTTTGCACTACTCCTTGGAATCTTTTCACATGTGGGTTAAACATTTTTCTAAGTGATTCCTGCTCGCTCCAGGGAAGATCAACTATTAACAGAAACACCTTTTTGTGTGTGTGTGCGTTAACCTGCTCTGTTTTTCAGACACCGAGAAATCAGTAAGATCTCTGGGGTATTTTTTCATCAGATTAAGCAACAGAAATTGTTCTTGAGCTAGTTGGTACGAATGTCTTATGGTGAACACTGATATTTTTAAACTGCTTATTTCAGCAGATCAGCAAACTTAGCACAGATCAGCAGAAAAGCTAGAGGCTTCAACACCCAAAGGTCTGGGAAAAAGCTTAGATTTCTGACACCCATAAAAGCGATGCAGCTCTTCCTCGACTGGTAATTACATATTTCTTCCCACTGACACTTGGAGGCTTCAGGCTGCTATGCAGAAATTTCGTTTCACCTGCACAGTTTCCATCTGGCACAGGGTGCCCTCAGCAGGTAGTTGTCAAATCCAAACGTGGGAGCCAAGGGCTCTGACGCTCCGCTGCTGGAGAAGCTGCCGCAGGAGTTGTCAGGATGACGCCACCCAGTCAGGGTGGGGAAATGTCTGTTACAGAACTGCTCCTCTTACTTCTGGGCCTCTGACACTGACAAAACATGGTCAAAACTGGGGCCCTCAGGAACTAAACTGGATGCTCCAGGTTTTGGCCTTTGGAGTCATGTTTCGCAATGCGTTACAACTGCCTTTCACCCAACCTGTCCGGGTTTCAAAGGCTGCAAATTACCTTTTCACACCTCCTCCACTCCTCCAACACCTACACACCCAAATACCATTTCTTCAGGATGTTCTGGTAGATCCTTAATTAAGGTCAGAGCAATTATTCTCTGTTTGGACTTAACTCCGACATCTGCCACTTCTATTTCGGGCTTTTGGTTGTCCAAAAGCTCACTTCTTTTTTTTTCCTTAGCTGTACTGGCTCAAGGACAGCCACCACGCCTCGATACTCACTCACATCCCCTCCCTGCCCTTGGATCACCACAAGTAGAACCCTGTCAGCCTAAGAATAAGGGTGATTTGCAGTTCAGACACTCAATCCAGATCCTCTCCCACAACCATCAGATCGAGGAGAGAATGAACGAGCTCTCAGGAAGTCTCCCCAGCTCCCAGGATCTTCTGCCTCCTGTCCAGATGTCACGAGCTCCTGACTACTGTAGATGAAGGAAGCAACACAGCAGAGATCGTTCCTGGCTTTGTTTCAGGGCCAGATGAAGCACTCTAACAGCTTAAATATTGCAATGCTGCGTGGTTTAAGATAGGAAAGCACTTTTCTGTTTTCTCCTCCGAGAGATTTTGATAGATGGATCAAAAACTTTGGTGTCAAATTAATACAGGGATATAAAGTATCTTTTGTAAGCATCGACATAATTAATTTCTCTGGCATGAATTCATACATCCATAATTTCCTCTTCAGAGCAGCTGCAAAAGGAACTGTATTAATTCCATTTGATGTATGTCACATTATGTGGCATTACCGTATATTACTGTCATATGCATGTTCATGGAAACAAATGGTGCACGCAACCCCATCATTCAAAGGCAATTTTGCTTTTTTTTTGCTGTGCAGTGAAATTTGAGGTCCAAAAGGATGAGCATGTTTGCTCATTCGCTGACCCAAGTACTCAGTTTCCTATTATTTTGGACAGTTTAAATAATGCCGCAGCTACGTATCTCTCTCTCATGGAAATTTCCTAACAAAGACTATCGTTTCTTCCTCCTCAGTTTCCAAGGTTTACTTCAGAGGCACAAAATATCTCTAAAACAAAAGGAGTCACTCATTGTACAGGTTCTTGCAAACTATACACGTCAAGAGTTTCCAGTCCAGAACAATGCAAACCTGAGCACATTGCTTCTGCAGGCTGAAGATGGGATATTATTGCAAAAGTTATGTTTTTCTGGCGCATGGTAGGATAAAAAGAATCGCTATCGTGGTCACAAGGGAGTTTACAAGAGCCAGTTGTCTTCTGTGAGAAGTGATCTTGAAGCTGTTTGCTGTGGAGCTTTATTTGTGCTACCTCTGTCTGAGGTTTAATTCACAAACTGAAATTGCACAGAGTAAGCAGAATTGCACAAAACGAAGACAGGTACTGCTTAGAAAAAAAATATTACACTTCCTGCTGTGAAGCATATTTTTATAAACAATTTCATACCGGAATTGCTTATTATATTTAATAAGGGAGCAAGAGAGTACAAGCACTCTTAGTTCAAGACAGCACAGTTTTGCACAAGCACAATTCAATGCTAATTGGGACTCAAACTGATTTGACTCTTCCAGTAGAAAAGTTCTGCACTTCAGAGGACAAGAACCACGCAGAAGACGTTCCAGAGGCTGCAGATTATCTAGTGCCCAGGAAAAATGCAGGTTTGAACATGTACAGAACAATTCTGTGAAAACACCCTCAATACAGTGAAGGAATTGAAACTGCTGCCTATAAAAGATTTTCTGAGCAGAGGCCTCTGGCTTTTTAAGCAGAGACTGACACGAATGCCTGTGCCACGCTCCATTCTCTCTCTTTAAGGCGCAGCACAACGCGGGTTTGACAATGAGTCACATACTCAAAGCTCCAGATAAAGACAGCACCAGGAGCTAAAACCGAAATCAGGCTCAAACACTCTGAAATAAAATAAAAGCACACAAAAGACAGAGACGTGAGACATCTTCAAAAAAAACCCAAACAACAAAACCTTAAAAAGGACTCTGTGGAGGATGTCCTGTGTGCCTACAAAAGGCTAAGAACTCTCATCAAGGAGAGCACAACGCTGCGTAATTTAATTGTGTGCTTACTAGACAAACAGCACAAGTTGTTCCTCCACTTCAGAGAGCCAGCTCTGACACGAAAACTCTCCTTCTTCACGGAAACCCACTTGCACTTTGCGTTTCTTCTGTGTACACACCCCACTGTCCTCTGGAGCTTTTATCAGCCGTGCCCATAGCAAGGCACAGGGTGAGGCTTTTCCAACAACAGCTGAGGTTATGTCCATGCTGATGAAGGGAACAACACCAGGGTCTTTGCAGAAATATGAGGGGCTCGGTTTAGTTAATGAAGGAAAGCACAAACAGAAGAATAATAAATAAATAAATAAATGAAACCCCCTCTTGTTTCCATATATACTAACAAGGAGAGAACTGCCCTGACTTTTCAGACTTCTTTCACGCTAAAATGAAAAGCCAGGGAATGTGATCATTCAGCTCAAAATAAGGCAGGAACCAAGTTACAGGGACTTGTGTTTTGATCAACCCATTGATTGATCCATCTTCACTACAGAGTGCAAACACATTCAAATTCTGCTCTCCTGCAAACTCTTCAACATGTTCAAGTCTCCCGTGTAGCAGAGCCCCGATATAAACACCACAGACATGGGAACAAACACTATCCACACAGCTAAACTTAGAGCAGCACACTGGGATTCAGCTGGCAGGGAATGATGAGAGGAGAGAGACGTAAGCCAGGAAAGCTGACTCCAGCTGAGGGCAACAGATGATCATAAACATGATCCTTCAAATAAAGGCAGAACAATCTGTAAAGAGTATTTGGGTTAGACCAGAGAGAAGAGCCAGAAATATAAAGCCAGATGGAAAGGAAAAGAAAGCAATTAAGACTATGAGGGGAACTGAAAATGTATTTCTGAGCTGTGGACACAGACTAGCTTGCAAATGTTTACTGGCACTGCAACTGTTCACACTAGTGCAAAGAATTTCTAAGCCCTGTCACATCGTGAAAACATTTAACCTTCAAGCACAGCTCTGAGGAGAACTCAACAATATGACCGGCAAATAAAACATTTTCAATTTTGTTTTTTTCTTCCTCCTGGCCACTGCCCCTCTATATTTTAACTTAAAATACCTATGTCAAATTACATTCCAGCTCATTCATCAGAAACAATAAAGACTGAGTAACTGGAATTCAATTTTATTAAGAGTTTCATAAGCCAACAACAACAACAACAAAAACAAAGAGGAAATACAAGCTCATGGCACTCCAGCTGCATTTAAACTGCCGTGCTAACTGGATTAAAACAGGGGCATGGTTTAGCGGTGGATTTGGCAGTGTTATGGTCAGAGTTGGACTTGATGGTCTTAAACATCTTTTCCAACCAAAATGACTCTATGATTCCATAGTTTTATTTCACAGAGGAAGCAGGCAGAACTTTGACTACGCAACTGAAAAGCAGGTAAGAAGGTACCAGTTTTACAATAAATAAGCAGAGGTTAGTACTTCTAAAAGCAGGTAAAATGTCAGCATTCGTTCTGGAAAGGTCCCTTGTCAAGCCTCTGTGGGTTGTTTGCAGAGACACACACATCTTGCAGAATTTTAGTCAAATGCATTGGATTTTAAAGAAGAAGGTAAAAGTAGAAAGCAAAGAGGGGAGAACAACCCAAGACAAACAGTCTGGGAATAAAAGTTTTACCCTCAGCTCATATTCTTCTCATCTTTTCTTTCCTCAAGGCCGAAGCAACTAACTTGCACTGCGACTGCCCATCTTGTTACGGCTCGCAACGAGCAATGAATCAGTGGGGCTGCTTTTGTCACAGAAAATTTAACAAGCAACTACCTGAAAAGCAGGAGAACGTAACATAGAAAATGCCAAGACCAGTTACAACCAGTCAGCCATACAGGGAGACTGGTCTGGAAAACAATAATAACAAAAAGACACGACCATGAGTCCTGAAAGGCTCTCGTGTGTATCTGCTATAAATCTAAAAAGCATATGTTGGGGTTTTTTTGCCTTTCTTGTACTCAGAAATACACATATTGGGTATAAAAGGAACGGCTGCGGTAACACTTTCTTGCACCATTTGCAAAGTTAGGGGTGGGAAGTTCACTGTCACCTGCACGTAGTAGTAACTTACCAACCTCCACATGAACGCCTGCGCGCCCACCGTTCGCCGTCCCATTCATCAGCTCCGGATCCTCGAGTTTCAGCTGAACCGGGGGCTGGAACTTCAGCTCCTCCTCAATTTTCTCCCGGTTGGCCTTCGTTCGAGAGCCACGGGCACGATTAAAATGCCATTTCACCTTCTGAATAACGCTGTCTGAAACAACAGAAAAAGACGTTTCAATTTGCTTTGCAAAAAGTTAAGCGCTTCAGGCAGTTATTAGTCACAGCAAAAATCACAGCAATTTTTTTTTTATTTTTTTTTATGTCTTCCTTCATTTCCTTATTAGTGGCAGGTGTCAAATTCCACCAGTGGTTAGGGATCAAAAATACCTCTCTAGGTATTTTACATCACGCCACTCCCTTTGGGACACTTCAAATCTCAACATCCTGCCTGTCCATGGACTGAAAATAAGTTTTTACATTCCAGGGCTGATGTCAATACACACCTAAAATTACCCATGAACTATCATGAGAAGCAATTCCACGTTGTTTTTTTAACAATATCAAGGACTAGGTTTTTTTTCCTCCAGCACAGAGATAAATTCATTCAACCTGCATTTGAGTTATGAAGCAACTTTGAATGTCAGAGGCAATTCCACAGTGATTTCGCCAACATCCAAGCCACAGATCTACACCCAGGTCACGCAGCTTCATCTTTCACATTTCAAATTTAACACCATTTGCAAGCAAATCCCTTTCCACAATCGTGGCTGCTGGTTTGCCAGGAGTTGTACTGCCACAAAGAATTTATCCACCTAAATTGCTCACACCTCCAGAGCTGAGGTACGTCACCGCAGATATCACAACTGCCTATTTAATTGTGCAAAGATAACGGCAAATTCAAGCTGTTGCAAATGTTCAGCAAAATAAAACACAGAAACACTTATTTTTCTAAACTTTCCTATACATAAAATCCATATCCGAAAGTTATTATTATGCCAGGCTTGCACAGGCTGACCACAGCTACTACGGGACATGATACACGTGTAATAGCTTAAGATTTTTGAGATCACACAGAAGGACTTTATATTGTGCTCAAATACACAGTGCCATCAGCATTTCTTTGTGGAAAAACCTGTGTTTTACCTCAAACCATCCTGCTATAATTATCTACAGCTACCAGGTAATAAAGGAAAGAAGAAAAAAAGAATTTTAAAAAAAAAAAAAATCACATAGCAACATCAGGTAGACTCAGAAAAAAATTCAGTATAACAGTAAAAATAAAAAACAAAAATGCATTTTTCTCTTTAAAGAGAGCCTTATGCAATTAAAAGAGGGTAGCGATTCCCAAATTCCTACTCCAGTTAAAAAAAACCAAATAAACAAACAAAAAAAGAGTAGTTTGGATCCCACTGTAAAATTACATCACACCAGGAATGTGCCCTGCAGGGAATCCACCCAAAATACACGATGACTGTGTGTATAACAGGCTCTCCTTGTGGATTTCTCAATCTTTTAAGCACAAAGTTTAACCAAAACCTGGATAGAAGCGTGCTAAACCACTGCAATACCCAGAAAAGAAATTTCTCAATGCAAGGGAATTGTGTTTTTCAAAGGTGTGAGGTTCAGTAGAGCAGCTGCTACTTGGCAAGAAAATCATTTTTATCAGGTTAAAGAAGAAACACTAAGCAGGATTACAAAGCGTTATGTGAACGTAAGGCAGGCCAGAACAAAAGGTGTGCATAATAATCTATTGTGTCTCTCTTTTTTCCTGCATCCATCCATCTCCAGTGATCTTTTTTTTTTAAAATTAACTTAAAATGTATTTGAGATGTGGATTCCTTTCCCTTCTGTGCCTATTTATTAATCAAGACAGGATTTTGTTCATCTATTACGGGGGCTCTCAGGAACTGCAAACCCAATAATCTAATAGTTTAACAACATTCCCCTCCTCCTACACACGCATGCAAAAGCAGACACACAGATTCATTTTTATGATCAGGCTTTGGCCAGGAGACACTGTTTATCATCATAAAAGCAGCAGACACAGAATTCTCACTTATTAGAGAACAAAATTACGAACCAAATTCCAGAAAAGCATATGGTCTGGAAGCTAAACTGATGCTTGTTGTATCGTAGGAAGCAGCAAATTCCCACTGAAGCTCTTCCAGGAAGCAAAACGCCATGATGGTTGAGTAATTGCTGGAACAGATTGCCATGCAGGCAATATCCCCAGAAGAAAGGAAACTGAAATACATATATAAAAAATATATACAAGTTAAAACAAAAAAAGAGTTGCTGAACGTGCGAATTAAACTCTGCTCTCTGTCAAAACAAAATACACAGACTGAGCTGCAAGATCAGACTGTAAAAATTAAATTCTTCACCCTGCTGTAATCATCCTGCAGCTCCTGCAGATCTAACACTTATCCTTAACAAATGCAGATTTTATTCACTTGCTACATTGGTAAAAATCAAGGACATTATTTTCTCAAGTCGGCTTTAAAACACGTTAATCAGAAAAGAGATGGCCAGAAAACATGACAGGTAATAAGATTTTGAAAGAAAACACAGTGGCTTTCCACAAACTGAAGTAAAAAGCAGCCAGCCGGTTTGGAGGAAGCAGGCAGGTGCACTCCTTGCTCCCCTTGAATATGATAACTGCCTATTAATGGCAGAAGACATCTGTCAACTTGCACAAACCAAGATACTCCAATACTGTTATTGCTAAATCGTCTGTAACAAATCAACATGAGTTTGTTTGAGAAACAGCGCAACAAAAATTTCACTCCAAAAGGGGTCCCTCTAACACTGGAGCCATATTTCTGCAGAAGCTTCCACTTCCAACGGCCCAGAACCTTGCAGGAAACTTCACAGCGGATTCAACAGACCAAAATGTGAGAAATCCCTCTCGCCCAGGCTTCATTAAATAAGATGGGAGTCAGGGCACTTGGTTCAGATGTCAGCACGCAAACCATAGAGACCTGAACTTCCACAATCCGCACCGTAACTACAGACTTGTGACTGACTCAGAGACAACTGAGCAAATCTTCCCTTACAGGTTAGTCATTTGTTAGCAATCATTTAGCTGAAAATCAAAACTGTGAAGCTCAACAATGACTCTCTGCATTTTCTCTCCACTATATATTTATATATTTCAATCCTCTCATACAGAAACAGTTGTGGTTTCTATTTTTCTTTACTTGTTATATTTTGTACTTGGGATTTAGGGTTTTGATTAGCTCCGTTACAGCCTCGTTACACCAGGTTTGCTCCCTAAACTCCTTTTGTCCCCAGCTCACAGCGAGGATCGACAGCGTACCTGGGTAAAACTACCTTTTCCCTGTTGTCAATAATTTTTGGCACTTTTTTTGCCACGTATCTGTTGTTTGCACTCTCCTTTCAGAGCCAGATGCATTGCTATTTCTGCAGAGACTACAGAAGATTAAAAGCAGCAGAACGTGTTAGCATTAAGGGCATAAGTTCGCTTTGAGGCAAAAGGAATTAAAATGCTAATCTCTGCTTTTCCAACTGATTCAGTGGAAGTTCACGTATCTTCTTTCACCAATCCCTGCCCCAAAAAGGGCCACTTAGTTTTAGCTCAGGGTGACTTTAAGTTTTCATATGTTTGCTAACCAGAAATGCAACCGCAAACTAAAACTCATTTTTAGAGCCAAACTAAAATCAATGGGAAATGAAAATTCTCATTTCTAAATAAAACCTTCATTTCTTAGCGATAAGGACCAGCAAATAAAAGCAAAGATTTCTCTGCATCAGCTATTGTCAGTATGGTTCAGGCCTCCTCAAAACTCACCCATTAACCAGAGCTGCTAGAGTTGAGCCCTGCTGGCATTCAGAAAATTAAGGGGGCAGCTTGCAGGAGGGAGTCAGGGCACTTTTGTGCAAGCCAGAATTGGAACTAAAGGCGTCCATGAGATGGCACCAGCAAGACTTTAATTGTCACTGAAAAAGTTTGGGGTGTAGACTAAACTAATTCATTCTACAGAACACTTGGGGACATCAGTACTCAAAAAACTGAACGTGAGCTGGCAACGTACGCTGACAGCCCAAAAAGCCAACTGTATCCTGGGCTCCGTCAAAATCAGTGTGGCCAGCACGACAAGGGAGGTGATTCTGTCCCTCTGCTTCACTCTTGTGAGACCCCTCAGTGTCTGTGTCCAACACAAAGACACAGACCTGCCGGAGTGAGTCCAGAGGAGGCCACAAATATGATCAGAGAGCTGAGTACATGTTGAGAGAGTTGGGGTTGTACAGTCTGGAGAAGAAAAGGCTCCAGGGAGACCTTATAGTGGCCTTCCAGTGCTTTAATGGGGCTACAGGAAAGCTGGGGAGGGACTGTTTACGAAGGAGTGTAGCAACAGGACAAGGAATAATGGTTTTTTTAAGTGCTACAGGTTAGATTTTGATTAGGCATTAGGAAGAAGTTGTTCGCTGTGAGCATGGTGAGACCCTGGCACAGGTTGCCCAGAGAAGCTGTGGATGCCCCATCCCTGGCAATGTCCAAGGCCAGGTGGGATGGGGCTTGGAGCAACCTGGGCTGGTGGGAGGTGTCCTCGCTCGAGGCCAGGGGATGGAACTAGATGATCTTTAAGGTCTCTTATAACTCAAACCATTCAGTGATTCCAAGGCACTAGGATGTCATCTTAGAAGGTATCTGCAGAAGGATGAGATACTCCAATTGCTAATAGTAACAAGTACTGCCCATCAAGTGGAAAGCATTTGCTATAAAAAATGAAAACTGAAGTAAGCAAGTTCTTCTCATGTGCTTAGTAAACTGAGCAGGAGCTGTGCAGTTCTTGTGTTGAGAAACAAGGTTTCAAAATACTGCTCCGAAGTTTCAATCCAGACATGCATGGTGGGAGTTCTGTTTGGAGTTAGGCACTACAAAACATCCCTGAAGTTCAACTAAACCCTACGACAAGCATTTCAAAACTTAAAGTCAAAAATCCAAACAAAAGCAGGGTCTTACTGTATGCTAAGGTCACGTCCTTTTGCTGTGCCTCGACTCGGATACTGCGCCAGAACCGAGGATAACGCCTTCAATTTCTTCCTGCATTCCAGAAAGTCCTGGTTGAGATGAAAGTCTGTGGAGGCTGAGAGGGGAAGTCCATCCCTCACCCGCACAACACAGGCGAAGAAGATCATGGACATTCTCCACTGGAGTACTCATGAGGACAACCTGAAAATGAGATATTTAATTAGGTTAACGGATGTGGTATTAGTTACTTACAAGGCTATATGTTAGCCAGAAATATGTCACGGGTTTAGCCACTACTGCTACCAAATCATATCTCTTGTAACTCCACCACTACTGAAAGGCAATCAAACTGCTCTCAGAGGCCCCAGCTACGCCCATCATTTGCCTCTCTCAGACAAAAAAAGTGAGGCAGGGGATTTGGCAAACAGAGGAATTACCCACCTGAAAAATATGACTATTTTACCTCCTGTTTTACCTCCATCATCAGAAAGGCTCACTAAAGTTCTTAAAGGTGTTTCTGGAAGCTGGCTAACTCCCACTGCCACTCTGTGTCTTCGCTAGCATTGCAAACAGCTGCATTAGTGCTGCAGTTACCTGCCTTTCCAGTAAAATGCACAAATTTTTGGCTACAGCCTGTCACCTTCTCTTCAGGGAATCAGCTAGAACTGAACACAGAATAAAAGTTGCCGTCTCTTGACTTCTTACTCTTTAACAAGTTACAGTCTCCTATGGAAAGTTATTAATGGGATTTACCTGATGCATTCAGAACACACGAGAGATCTGTCCTTCAGACATACCATGAGTATCGAGTGCAGGACGTTAGAAGACTAACACAGCAGCTCCCATAATCTGAAAGAAACCCCATAATGAACATTTTAGAAGATCACCTAATGACCTATATGTGTATTTACAATATAAGATCTCCTACGCAGTGGGTAAACATATCCTAGAAAGTATTTTACCTAAAGGAAAACAAAACAAACAACTCATTTTCTTATGCAATATATCCATTCCTAAATGCATTCGAGGACACTACGAAACGATGCGCAAAATATTTCTGATGCCCCAGTCACTGTTGTTATCGCAGCTTCCTGTAAAAGAGCAGCTTTAAATCAGCAGACTTTAAGCGATTATCACAAACAAGTCAATAAAGGAAAAATAAGGAAAAAAGGGAAGACATTTACTCTGCTTCAGGTAAACTACATAAATGAAGCATTAGGGAAAAAAAAGGCAAAAACCTCAAAACAACTATAAACTCAAACTTCTGACAGAGCCAATGACTGTTTTAAACAACCCTGCATCAAACGATTCATTATGATGCTCAAAGTTTCTTTCAAACGTGATCCATCAAAAGGTATTTTTCTTTTTTTAAAAGGCAAGCGAGGAAAGCCTCTTCCAGTTTAGGCATTTATCAACTCTCGTCTCTGTAGAACTGTTCTGCTGCCTAATAAGGGTGGAGTTCTCACCACAAGAAGCACTAAGAGGGTCTCATTTCTCTTCCACAGGAATCATTTCCACACAACTTGTAGAAAATATCCCTCTGTCCAAGGTGGTTGCAGTTTGCCAGCACGCTAAAGCAGCTAACAGCTGCCAAAGGAACTGACAGAAAGCACAGTTACACATAGCTTGTTTCCTTAGAAAAGCAAATTAAAACTACAGAAGATCACACATCACCTGAAAAGTGTTATTTTCAACTTTTAAAACGGAGGTTAAAGAAAGATTAGATATTTTTTCCACTATCCCTCTCTGAATTCTTCTCCAGGAGTCATCTGAGTTGCAAAATCAAACCAAGGTCATTAACTTAATTTCAGCGCACATCAAAAAGAATTTCAACGATAATCAAGACTATTACTTATCAACTTGAAACATCACATCCATCTTCAATCTTTGGAAACAGCCTGAAGATGGTCAGAAAAATGTAAATGCACCAAACTTAGAAACCAAAGACATTTTATTAAATGTAACCAGCTTATAAAATTATTTAAATCACTACACCACTAACAGCAAGAGTTTAAGAATAAATATATTCATAGGATAACATCACCGATAGCTAACCAAAGGCATAAAACTTTCCAAGACACACAAACCTTCATGCTCCAGGGCACAAAGGTTTCACTAAGCACCAGCTGCCCTTCAGAGGGATTCTCTGTTCTCCTGTGAAAGATCTGGTATCAGTCATCACCAGGCAGACTTCCAAATTAAATGCCAGACTTCACTGGAGAAACCAGTCACTGCTCCTTCCTTGGAGAATACACCTGCTGTACCGTACTATAGCTGTTCTAGTCATCTAAAAGGCTTGATTTATTTTTCTTTTTCAGTCCACCTGTCTGTGAATTTTCAGGTTTTTTGCCTAAGGAAATGAAGCTTACACAACCCAGCTGTAAGTGCAAGCAGGATAGGTCTCTTATGTACCTTTTGGTTTTGTGAAAATAGGCAAACGCGTATAAAAGAAAGGTACATCCCAAACAACTGGAAATGTGTTCACTGGTTCCACATCTTACAGAGCTCCCATTTACACGATCTAAAGGGATGTTTGCATAGGTAACACCCAACTTCCAAACAGAGAAGAAAAGTGTGAGATTTGAGAACTGTGCCTGTAAAGACTTCTGAGGAGTTTAAAAAAACAAAAATCAAGCTTTTTGTAATTCAGGAGTTTGATATGTGGCATGGACTTAGCTAAAAGAGGCGACAGCCAACATCACCCCGCAGAAGAGGGCGAAGCCTAAAAATACATTCATGCACTGGTTCACCTGTCTTCTCTGTAACTCTTACCACCAACCACCTATCACTCAAACCCTCTCCTTTCTTTTTCCCCGTCCCCGTAGCTCACCCACCCTGACGCTGCACCTCCGTGAAGCTTTAGGTTTTCTTCTTCCTTTTTCGCGAGCCTCTTGCCACTTGCACATCAAATGTTTTCTGCCCGCGACAGGTACCAGCTACTAACGTCACTCCCTTTCCAAGTTTAAATCCTCGCCAAGCAAGTTTTGCCACGTCACCTGGACACGAGCACACACGATCACAAGTTATTGGCCTGATCAAGGCGTGCACATAAGCAGGTGAACCTATGATCTCACTCTTTCAGATCGACCTACCCTTTCCTCCTCCAGTCTCTTTCTGTTTGCACAGGATTAGTAGCCCAAAGTATGTGCAACTGACTTTACGTGGCAGGCCTTTGAACTCGGGTCCTGGACTCTGACAACGTGCTTTTGATAAAGCAGTTATCAAATCTTGCTGCATTTAGAATTAACAACATCACGTCAGGCTGGCTATTTTACCAGCACAAAGCAGGCAAAACCTCAAGAAATATTTTAAAGAAATTTTTCACAAGAACAAGTAACACTTTATGACCAAAGTAAATAAAGCCTTTTTTTTGCGTTATTCAAAGCACCTGTACATCCAAAAACACTTCAGAAGAAAGCTGTTTAGACTCACATAACAGCACATATTCACCAGTCTTATAACAAACAAGACTCTTCAGAAGTATTCCCACCGTAGGCATCTAAGAAGTTATCTGAAGCACAGTTCATCCCTCGCTTCCTAATTAGCGACCAACTCTCCAGTGACTACACAGGGATTATTAAGGCAGCTTTTGTCAGACCTCTTGCACTTTACTACGCTGTTACGCAAGCTCCTTCGAGTAAGAAGATTAGACTGAATTCACAAGTGCCAGACAAACTCCTACCTTATTGTCTCTACTTAGAAAACAATCTACTCAAAAGGCTATGAAAGCAAATGCAAACCAGTACATCATTCATGAGGTAAATTACTTTTAAAACATTGTTCTGGAAGAAATTATTTTAGCTAATCATCCACGCAGAAAGTTTCCTTCTAAGCACGGCACAGCACTAACAAGGAATGTCTTGTTACCAGGGTCTCTCTCAAGTATTTTTCTTCTTCAGAGTCACAGCTCAGTTCAGCTTCCCTTCTTTCTAGAGGTGGCACATGGGCCAGTCTCAAAACCAACAACATCCAACTACTTTGCCAAGTTCTGACGTTCCTACTTAAAGAAGAGCAGAAACCTTTAGTGAATGTTGTCATATTGCAGGAGGCTCCTGAAGCGGTCTGTGAAGTTATTTTGGACACATGATAGCTCGATACAAGATTGTAACTACTGCACCTAAAGCGGCTTTCCTCAGGTGGGTAAGCTTCAGAGAGCGTCACGGACAGCTACAGGTGGGACGCCACAATGCTAGAGAGATTCAGGCTGACTCAATCGAACACAAAACTTAAGAGCTGCAACTCAAGTGGTGGTTTCAGTCTCCACCAACAGAAGGGAAAAGGAATTGAGACATGGCTCACAATGGAGAGTTACTACGTCTCTGCAGGATCACAAGGTGGATTTTATCCTCTTTTCACACGTGCAAGAAAGCAAATCTGAAATGTTACATTTCCCGTCTTCTAAGATTGCAGTAAGGGGGCCCATCTGCTTCTTCCCAATTCTCTCCCTCAATGCTCACAGCAGCAGCGCTGACCAAGCTACAGATATCACCGACCTACAGCGTACAAGTCACCCTCCAGATTTAGCAGTGAATAAAAGCAGTTTGAAAGCATGACGCTACCTCAACTTTTAACACAGGATTTGTGTGTATCAAGAGCCTGCAGGCTCCTATAAGCTCTACGGGCCTTATTCTTATCGCCAAAGGGCAGCACATAGAAAACCCTCACCGTTACCAATCTCCTGCCTACACAGACTCCTACAAATTACCAGAAATAATGCACGTTACACAAAACTCAAACCTCCTAATACTTGCCCAAACTGCACCACAACAACTCCGTAAGACACTGAACTTCTCCCTTGATGATACTCTCTCAGAAACATCGGCCACCGTCATCTGCTCCTGAATACACACCCTCCAACCTGCACCCGCAGCCTCCTGAAGCCTCTCTCTGTACTTCCACCAAACCACACAACTAAGAACCTTCCCCATATCCACCCTGTTGCATTTTACTGTGTTATACAGAACTAAACTCCATTCGCCCCTCTTCTCCTCCACATTTTCCCAACCCCCTAAAAGCAGCCCTTTCCCACACTCTTCAATAAACCCTGAAAGTCACCCCCACACACACTGGGCCACTCTTTCACACGAAGTCTCCCCAGACACCTCTCAAGCACCCAGACACCCCCAAATCTTATTCCCACCCCACACCTCCCAAA